AAATATTCGACAACTTGATGAGCAAGTATTTCTAACCAATATTACAACATTAATACTATCACGTATTATAAGCATTAATTATGGAAATAATATTCATTTAGAGACATTTTTCTTTGTAGAATCTGGTGATCAGTATGATTTAATCTTAAAAAAAAGTTGTCTAAATACACTTTTCACGCTTTCAGAGATAAAAATCTGATTAAATTCCGATTCAAGTTCCAGCCCTAACGACACGACAAAGGCATCATAAATTCCATCCAGCTCATTAATTACGAGCCGACAATGACAGTTGAAGCGAGGCTAACCTGTTCATCTGTCAGAAGAGCAGAAGAGAAGAAACGTATGAAAGAATGGTAGAAAGAAAAAAACGAACGAGAGAAGCTTATCCAAAATAAATAATTATATGGTTCTTTATAGCCACCGGCCCATTTTGGATTGACACGAGCCGCCGTTTTATACATCCGAAAATTCACCGATCGTTGCGTAACATTGATCTGAATATTTGTAGTGGACGGAGCGCGCTCTGTAATTAATAAATTTCCTATTAGGCGAAACGCTAAATTAATTATTGGAGATGGCGTGTAATCATTCTAAACGCGGGATTAAAGAGCGACCGAACGGACTATAAATAATTTTACATAATTATCAACTGTAAACCATAATGTAATTCATTCAATAAACAAGGCATTCCTGTTTGTTTTCTTCTTTATTTTTGGCTTAAGATCGTTTTTAATTTATTAAGTATTTCTAGAATCATTTAATCAACAAGTTTTCTTACTTCACAGAAACTTTGTATGTCATTTTACATGTATCTAGTAATTAATTTAAAATTAATAAAAAATCTATCAACATTATTCCAATAGATATGATTAGATTAGTATTAGTTAATAGAAAAATATCTTGGAAAAGTTACCTTCAAATTGATTTCATAAAAGATAAGAAATAAGAAAATGTTCAAATAGATTATTAAATTAATTAAATAATGAACATCATTATTATAAATCTTATGTAAATTAGAGTATTATAACTATTAACTGTGAAATCCAAAAAGAAGACATAATTACTATTATTAAATCATTTAATTTTTTTTTCAGTCTACCGTTGATTTTCTCATCAAATAAATTATGTAATCAGAACTATAGTAAATTTGCATAGCTTGAGGTGTTTCCTTTATAATATCCCGATTTTCTCGATCCATTCAAACTGTTTAGTCTTGGTTCATTCTTCTCACGGCGGATGATGATGTTTTATTTTATTTTTATTAAATTCTCGATGGTAACGGTCAGTTCGAATGATGACCTTGCTCCGATCTATTACTTTTCGTAACATTTACTATTTCCGTGATTTATGTAACATTTTTTTAAATTTAGTTAACATTTTCGTAGTTGCTGTACTTATATTGTTGGTTTGTTGTGATAAGGAATATGTTGTGATACCAAGAATCGAAGTCTGAGTGCGTTATTTGGTTAAGACTTTAAGAGGTTTGCGAATTCTTTTCCATGACTCATGGATGAAATGCATGGATGCGGCTCCGGGAATTCTGCGCCTCAGGCAGCAGCTCAAATGCTTAAGAGCGTAAAGAGTAGAAATCTATTTGTTCGTGTCTCTTCGTTTTGCGGAAGAACATTTTATTGTTACTAAAGTGGTCTTATTTACTACTTAAGATCATTACGGTTATATAAAGTATATAGTCTAATTTGATAATAATAAACTAAGAAAACTTTTTTTAATGTTGCTTAGAAATACTTGTTCATCAAGTTGTCGAATATTTGGTAATATCAGGAAGTAGTATAAATTATCAAACAGAATTATTATATATTCATGATACAAATAATTGCATAAGTTGTCAATTAGAAATACGTAGTCATGAATTTGACAAATGTTAGATAATATGTAAAAATACTTGTACAAGTTGTCAATCAGATATTTAACAAATATTACGAAGGATGTAGGAATGCTTGTACAAGTTATCAATTAGAATTATTATGTAATCATGATACAAATATTTGCACAAGTTGTCAATTAGAAATACTTATTCATAAATTTGACAAATATAAGGAAGTATATTGGAATACTTGTACAAGTTGTCAATTAGATGTACTGGATTTATATAAGCAAATATCACGTTTAATCATAACGGAATATTACTAAACTGCATTAAAATCGTATTCCTATTAGATCTATCTAGAACATCTTCATAAATTTGATAATCCTGTACATGTATATCGTACATAACAAATCATAGACACCGAAGCCTCTCTAACCTGAGATTATCGACCATTCAATGTTCCATAGATATTAATTTATTGATGATTCGGAATCGTAACTCCTTTCGATTTATTATTATAGATGATCAATTCACTTCCTATATAATATTTAAAGTATAGTAGCAAAACTACTAACTTTTTATTGCAGTAAAATTGTAATTAAAAAAAATGTGTTTTAATGATGATGACTGGAATTTGCTTCAAAAACTTGTATCCCCTTCAGTACAAAATCAAAAAATGTTGCAGCCACTCTATTAGTCATAAGACATAAAAATGACAGTCAGATGACATCACAATAAACAATGACAGCTGTCATTACATAGCGTAGATAATATATATATGACAATACTTATTATCAAAAAAAAAGATAATTTCATGCTCATTTATTTTTTTTATATTTTTCCAATTAATTATATTGTAGATGTTCAAATCTTATTAAATAGTAATTTATTTTGATCGTTCTATAAAAATATCGCTTGTCAGCAAGGAATGTTTACTGTAAACGAAGAGAAGTCAATTCCTCCTTGGAGGATTGTAGACAACTCCTGCACATTTTATCCCTCACAAGAATTTCCGTAAAACAAACATAGCGGAGGTATACATCTTGAGGGGGAATTTCCGTTTGCTTATTTATTGAATTGCATCTGCGGCGACCGAACGTAGTAAACTCGGCTCCTGCGCGCCGTTTTTCATCCTGCCGACGAGAGAAAGAGAGTCCTTGGCAAAAATTATTGACTCCTTTCCCGGTCTTCGAAATAATTCATGGGAAATACACACATCCAAAGACGTATCATTCTCTTCTCTCTATCCTCGTATGTGTACAAATGTACGAGTATATAGCTACGTATGCGTAGCCAGATAGTTGTTTATTCAGTCTTGAGAAGGTTCTCATGTATATTTCTTTATTTACCTTACGTATTCACGCCGTTAACTTAAAATGCAAATGCAAGACGCAGCGAAAAAATAAAAGGAATGAAAGAACTAGCAGAACATGGTGGAATGGTTGGAAAATATGTGTGTAAGTAATACGAGTTCCAGAGCGCAAATTGCACCTAATGTTCTTTAATTGAGACGAGGGCATTCTCTTCGCTGCTAGTCTCTTTTGTATGTCAGCAGGAGAACTGTACATTCCTGCAAGCGCCGTGCACATCCTAAAGAGGATTTGATTGATTTCACTTTGTTATTAACAATTATTCATATTCATCTCTCGGACTAGGTTATTTTGGTCCATTGACTTCTCCATATCTTCATCAATATCCTTTTCACAATTACATTTTTAAAACTTATAATAATATCAACAATAATTTTCTTTTCTCGATTTTCAGTATTTGGATATTATCAAAAAATTAAGAAATTTTACAGCATTGTTTTTCAGATATTTGAGATTTATAAAAATTCATGAAATTTTCAGAACATGATAAAAATGCATGAAATTGATTGAAAATATTAAAATATATTTAATATTTATTCATAATACAATGGAAATAAAGTATATTAACATAGATTTTCATTACATAATTGATTTTCAGGTTTATAAAATTTCATGAAATTAGTGAAATATTGGAATATAACTTTTTTTATATTTATTCATAGTACAAAATAATATTAACATTGATTTTCATTACACAATTGATTTTCAGAACTTAATATTTATAAAATTTCATGAAATTTTCGGAACACGATAAAAATTAAAGAAATACAACATTTTTAAAACTACATCATATTAACATTAATTTTTATTACACAATTGATTTTCAGAACTAAAGATTTATAGAAATTCATAAAATTTTCAGAACATGATACAAATTCATGAAACTGATTGATAATACTGAAATATACAAATTGATTTGTGTTACAATTAACTTATTCAAGCAAATTCAGTTTTAATATTTTAAAATTCAGGAATTGTAACAAAATTAATTGAAAATATTTTAAGATTTATAGAAATTCATAAAATTTTCAGAACATGTTACAAATTCATGAAACTGATTTATAACACTGAAATACAAATTGATTTGTGTTACAATTAACTTATTCAAGCAAATTCAGTTTTAATACTTTAAAATTCAGGAATTGTAACAAAATTAATTGAAAATATTTTAAGATTTATAGAAATTCATAAAATTTTCAGAACATGTTACAAATTCATGAAACTGATTGATAATACTGAAATACAAATTGATTTGTGTTACAATTAACTTATTCAGGCAAATTCAGTTTTCATATTTTAAAATTCAGAAATTGTAACAAAATTAATTGAAAATATTTTAAGATTTATAGAAATTCATAAAATTTTCAGAAGATGCTACAAATTCATGAAACTGATTGATAACACTGAAATACAAATTGATTTGTGTTTCAATTAACTTATTCAGGCAAATTCAGTTTTAATATTTTAAAATTCAGGAATTGTAACAAAATTAATTGAAAATATTTTAAACTAAAATTTCGAATGCAAATGTAAATTACTTACAGATAACTAGACAAACCGTAAATGCATCAAAAGGATGGTGATTAAGTTGAAGAATCCGGCTGGGCATTAAATTATGCAATAATGTGCGGCGTGTGAATTTTGAGGAGAAACGAAACTGGTTAGAGTCTTGTAATTATTGCGGAATTTACGACGCTTTGTCGCACCATTTGAATATGCATGCGCGCATTTAATTACTTAATGCCATCAATAAAATGACGAATTCGACATTAATAGTGGTCCTTTTTTCCCGAATGTTTCAGATACGTTTTATTGGCTCTCTGCCTAGCAGGAATCTGCATCGGTCTGACGGAATGCAAATCCAAGAAGAACCACGATCTTCTCACCAAAATTGGACTGGCACGAGTCCGGGCACCGAACAGCCATTACAGGAAACGACTTGCGGACGAATCCAGGCACCACAGCAGATCCGACGATTCCCACATGTTCGTCATCAAGTTACCACCAAACCCGCATTACTACGTCCACAACAGACCCAACTCGTACATGGAACCAGAGAATAAAGTTCCAGTAGGTTTCAAGAGCAACGGAAAACCGGGAAAGATCTACCATTGGAATATACCTGTCATCAAGAAGATAGCCCAATCCAAAGCCAAATCGAGGAAGAGCGACGATTCGATGATTGTGGACATCAAGCATACAAACTGGAACGACGTTTTGGATAAACCCTTGACGAATCCTAGCAGCTACAAGAAACCCTCGTACTACGTTCCGGCGAAGCTGAAGAAGTCATCGTTCTTCAAGTACTTCCCAGGAAACGGAAAACCGAAATCCTTCTACGTGATCGAAAAGAACAAGAGGAAGGCGCATCGCCACAAGCTGCTCGATTGAAATGGCTAAATATATATAAATGTATACACTATTTAATGAAAGGAAATCGAAAAGACTTTGTGCAATACGAGTGCTGGTTATATATAAAAAATAAGAAAACATACAATATAAATATATTTTTGTGATTATATAACAATTTATCTGTTCTCCTTCTACAAGTTCGTTTTCGGCATATCAATTAACATAGGTTAAGACCTTTCCACACTGGAGGATCATTACATAACAAGAAATATATGATTACAACAAAAGCACGAACGATATTTGAAACAATGTAAATAAATTTGTAAAACTCGTCAACAATTCATAATTTCTTTTAATTACTACTTAAATATATTAAAATACTCTTAAACGTATTGAAAAAATGAATTTTATCATAAAAGCAAAGAAACTGATAGAAGCACTCGTGTCGATTCAATTTTGTTGTAAATACTTAACAAGTTCCTCCAGTGTGGAAAAGTATATTTATATACATTTGGGAAGGGTTTTTACCTCACAAAGCCATCCTTAAATGTAATTTTCTTTCTCTCTGTTAATATTATAACTATTATTTAAATTATTGATTTTGCACATCTGACTGATTTAATGGTAAATTCTTCATCACATTAGATTTTCTACCCAATTATTATTATTATTTTTATATATATAATGTTTTAATTTTTAACATTCTAACAATGATTAAGTATAATAAAAATTAGTGTTTTAGGTACTACGTCTTGTTATTTGAATCCCTTTTCTTCCCTTCATCGGTTTTTCCACGTTGTATGTGAGTCACGCGTTAGTCACGCCGTCGAAGATGAGGTTACATAATGCAAGAAAGCGTCGGAGCTTTCGCACCACACGTTTCGTAATAATATAATTGCGAAATTAGTGTCAGAGATCATTTTGCACTCGTAAAGCTGCCTTCGTGGAAACTCGCAATTAAGCTTGATTAAAAACGGGCTTTTGAGCGGAAAAACATTCGCCGCAGACGAATAAAGGCCTGCAAACGATTTAATTCTTTAAGTTAAGTGTCCGTTTTATTTGTTTGTCAATTTAAGTGAAATTAATGTGTAGCTTTTAAATACACAACCCTTAATGGTTTGGAATTAGTTTTAATTGATAACTTCGTATTTCCAGAAAATTTACAATTATAGTTTAAATTTTTTTAATCATTCGATTCATGATTCAATTGCTTTTATATTTTAATCAAATATACAAAAAATAGTTAATAGTTAATAAAATAAACGTATAGTATAAATATAACAATGATCGAAACATACTTAAATACAAATTATAATTTCTATTAAATTTTTAATAAATAAATATATTCTTTTCACAATAATTACATTAGTTTCTCTTCAATTGACAATTTTGGTAAAAGATACGTATATTATGAAACAAACGTATTTCGTATCATATTCACAATAAGTCTATTTTGTCTCTATTCATTTGGTAAATTTTATTAGTTTTACAACTTATTTATATACTTTTCATAATAATTTGAGTTTTTTTTCTCTTAAATTGCAAAATTGTACAAAAATTTACATACTAAATAATAAATGTGATGGATTTATTTATTGGATTTTAAAAAATGCTATTTCTTTTTGTCCCAATATTTTTTTTTAAATGAACCAAAAATACTTTCTATTTACATAATTTTCATGATAATTTAATGTTTGCTACCAGTTAATATATAAGAAATACTTATCCAATATACATAAAATTTATTTACAATAAAAGTAAACCTGAAAAATTTTTCTTAGCAAACAAAAATATTATTAATTTTTAATAAAGTTATACTTTCCCGGTGGATAGTTTACCATTATGATGATTAGATTTTTAATTTGTTGGTTGGCTGTCGTCTTGTATGTTAACTTCAGTAGTATATTCATGCTCTGCGATTCCACTATTTCCTTTCACTGTGAATCTGCTGCTATTCTTAACACTGTCATTGTCCATCGACTTGGCTTCAGGTCCATATGCTGAACCTCATTCATTTCACAGTTCATCTCTGATGAACAATGGCCCTATCACTGCAAGCAGCAAGAGGGTTCACAAAGGGACAGGATATGAACCTGTGCCCACTAGATCGTGGGTAGGATAACTTAATCATTCGGATATTAGTCGTCCATTTATAATTTATGTACAAAGAATTTTATCAAATTTCTGATAATTAATTTAATTACTATCTTTTTTATTAAAAGTTTTATAAAAAAAAATAAACTAACACATCAAAATTTTATTTGTTTTTATTTGTCAACAATAAAAATTCAACAAAATAACAAAATAATTTAACAAAAATAATGTATAGAAGGGAATGCGACCCTCATCTCGTGTTTGAGTTATAGCATATAAATCTTTTTCCACTCGCACTGCGGGTTCTCTCTGAATTACTTTCCTCCCCATTTGAACAAATTTCATACGTCGTTTAGCACTTGATGCCATATTTTAAAAACATCGCAAACAGAAATGTAGACAGAATTCGTACTATGTTATATAATTGAAAAAAAGCTTGTAAAATATGATTAATGTACTGTAAGAGAACAAGTTCATCCATTCATGTTTTTCAAACCAATAAAATTGCTTCAAATGTATAAAATTCTTTACATTTGTTACATTGAAAAATGAAGATTTTAACTTCAAAAGTAAGTATTTTCCTAAATATTTATTTATTCTTCAAGTGTGATTAACAAATCTATTTATTTTAAAAATATTAAATTAATTGTCACTTTTGTAACACCGTAAAATATGCACAAAATATGTAAACGTTGATTATTTAAAAGAAATCCAAAATTTGATAATTTTGTAATACATCATTATTTAATTAAATTTTCAATATAATTAATGAAAAATTTCATTGAAGATTGATAATAAACCTTGATTTTAATGAATTTAAACGATGAATAAAATTTTAATAAAAAGATCTTTTAATTCAAATTTCTATGCGCGTTTGTATGTAGGAAATGGTGACTAGTTAAAATATTTATTGTAATCTTGAACGTGGTTATCCAAGCATGGATTCGTTTAGAATGAAAAAAAAAATGTAATTTTAAATACCCAGAGAGCATTGAATAAACAAGATAATTGGTCTTATCCTGTTGTTTTTGTATATAAAAAAAAAACAATAATAAAAATACATAAGGTAAATAAATGTGTGATTCAATTCCGTTTTCTATTATTTAAAATTCTGGATAAAGTCATTAAATTTGTATTAACTCGGTTGCTCTTTCGTTTCGTTTCGAAGCGTTGCTTTATTTACATACGTCGACTGCACACACATGCACAAACCATGGCAATGGGTGGTCGTCTGGTTTTCATGGTTTGAGCGTGGAGAAAAGGATAAAATTACAAAATTGAATGGAATCAAAATGGAATTACACTGATCCCAGCTTTAATTGCTGGAGGATCGGGAAGCAATTACGATTTTCGATTTGAACAGACAAAAAATAATAAATAAAACGAGATGTATGTATGGGGTGGAAGAAGCCCTCGATGCGAAGGGAAAGAAGAAGAAAAAACTCCATCGGAGTGTAATAATAGAGGGAAGAAAGAGCGTTTGTTATGTCTAGCAAAAGAATGAAAAGAGGAAACTTTAGAATGCTATCATTTCCTTTCCGACTCGACGTCTTCCTGTTGTACTTTCCCCGTCTCGGAATATATTTTTTTTTCTTATACTTCCCAAACCCTCTTGCATTCGTGTGTCGTCTGCGAATTCGCATTTTTATTTGCCTTTAGTCGACGTTTGTGGGGATGAAGCCAGATTATAAGGGAAACGCATTTGTAATTTTATTTTTTAACTTCATTCTTTCATATGTTTATCGACCTAATTCGTCTCCTTGGTAACGTTGTTAGACGTTTTCTGTAAGACTAGTCAGTAGTTGTCAACGATGGCGACGGGCGTTCCCGCATTGCAACCTAGGTTGCTCCTAGGTTTACAAACCAGAGTACGTGGGAATGCCCATTACATCAGCGATGAGGAGGTCGTGTATCCGGTGGGAGGCGTCCTCTGCGTCCACAACATCAACCAGAAGAAGCAGAAGTTCATCAAGATGCCGGAAAAGGGGGCGAATATAAGCATCATTGCTGTTAGTCAGAACAGGTATACTTTTCGGATTATTGGATGCAGGTGGTGGGATTGATGGTGTTAGGAAGTTCGTTGCAGTTTGCGAGATTGGGGAGAAGCTCTCTGCGACGATTTACGATCCGTGGGTGTTTAAGAAGAAGAAACAGATTATTCTACCCACAGACAAGGAAGTTCAAGCCAAGGAAATCGTTGCTATTACATTCACTTATGACTCTAAGAATTTGGTGATAGTTACTGGAGAGCCGGAATGGTGCATGTATGTCTACAAAGTGGAGAAGGGTAAATTGGAAACTACATCCAGAGCAAATAATAGCAATGGTACTGGTACAGTTGTTCAAGTAAGTAAATCTATACATTGCCAAGTATTAATAAAATTACTTAAAAAGCATTTGGATTCTATGCACATACATTTTACAAGTTTAAATTATTGAACTTTTAAATTAAATATTGCTAAAATTAATTCATATTTTAAAAATTCTTTTTAAGTTTAATGAAATTCAATTATGAAGCAATGATTTCATCTTCAAAACTTAGTAATGTTAAGAAATGGATATACATTATATAATACAGTTTTACTATAACAAAATGCACTGATTTCGTAAAGAATATTAAAGACTAAAATTTTTGTTTTTTAAATGGAAAAAATATTTCAAATTTCAAAAGATAAATTTATGATACACATCTGGTCGTGTTACAATTACTAAAAGGAATTTCATGTTTTCATTTGATCATTTGCAAAGGTCAACAAATTGAACTTTTTTTAAATTTCAGAATAATTATTTTTTTGTTATCAATTTTGAATTTAATCATCAATTTTATTATATTTGTACAGTGATACCTCGTATAGTGCGGCATCAATTTTAGTTTGAAAATTAGAAAATTAGAAAAAATAAACATTAATTATAAAAAAAATAGTACATAAAATTACGTTTGCTTTAGGTTTATACCAGTTGTGGACAAACCGGGGTAAATTACGGTATTTGGGGTAAAAAGGGATTTTTTTGTAGGTAATAAGGACGTTTCGGAATTAATATTCTATGTATTGATAATGTTATGTAATTAAAAAAATAATTATTACAAAAGGCTATTTTGTCCTGAAATAACTTTTTAGATTTAGAAACAAAACTTGATTCAGAAATGATGTTATAAATATGTAAATGTTTTTTTTTTGCATAGACGAAAACTGTCGAAAGTTCAAAGTATAAATTATGTCCCGTTTTTGAAAAAAATAACCGTGCAAGAATAACAACAACAATAACAACAGTGGGAATTCTTATACGTATATTTTTGATGAGATCCATTCAACAAGTATAAGCATATTGTAAAAAAAAAATGTGATGTTACTCTTGTACGATTAATTACAATTCTTATGCCTGTTTTCGGGGTACTAATTATAGCGCATCATTCTGGGTCGTGACCGCAAAATTAAAAATGTGTATCCATCGAGGAATTATTCAGATTCTACTTGATGTTAAAAAATCCTGTTAGTTATTTTTTTTTCTCGACACATGGACATTTCTAATGGAATACTAATTTCGCCGATAGTATTTTTTAAATTACAGTTAGAATTCATGCACATCCAATATTTATTTGCAATCTGTTCTTTTCTCCACGCGCATTCGCATTCAAGAAATTCGTGATTGACCATTGATGGCATTACTAAATTACAACACAAATTATACGTTATTATCTTAATACGTAATTGTTGTTAATCAATAGATTAAGTACAGTAATTTTTATATGCAAATTCTTTTTATATATTTTTTTCTTATTTAAAATTGTTTATAACTGCTTTGAAGTTTACAGCTAAATGTAAAACAATATATGAAAATGACAATAATTATTATGTTTATTACTACAATTATCTAGACAATTTATAGTAAGAAAATGGGAAATTATAAATTAATAAAGTATTATTTGCAATGTTTGTAAAAGGGTGGTAAATATCAATTTAGATTGGATTAAGGATAATTCAAGTAGCAAATTGTGAATGATCGTATCACAGGATCAAAAAAGCTCTTAAACTCGTTCGATTTATATGATCGTTTTATCCCGTTTATCGTCGGATTTCTTATTTGTCAAGCAAGGGGTAGTGTATCTTGGAGAAGGAAGTTTTTGGTGTGCAGATAAAAAGCCATTGTCCTGTGTCCATTTCGCGTGTTTCCTTTTTCACCCCTATAGTGAATAGAAGAACAAAGCAAGTTACATAATAAACTATCAATAGACCATAAAGTTACGATAAAATGTTTGTTATAATGACTCAGTCTGCAAGTCGATAAGATCGTTGGATCATCCTTTCTCTCCTCAATATTATTATATAATGTCTTTTATCTATCTCAATTCACTCAATGTATATACAAATTTTTATGAAGTTCAATTTAATATTATTGCATATTACTTTGTTACTTCCTCGTTGTCTTCCATATTTAAACTAATTTTGTCTTTTTTTTAAGCAAAAACTTCTTTATACTTCTCATTATTATTACAAACTTTTTTACTTGCTCACTTCTTTCGTAATTTATACCAATTTTGGATACCTTTGAATATGAATATTTATGTATTTTAGCTCAACACTATTATATAATATTTTTTTTTTTATTTTCTCATTTCCTTTAATGTTTATACCATTTTGAATGAGAATCTGTATGTATTTACACTTAATATTATGATGTAATACTTTTTATACTTGCTTATTTATTTCAATGTTTATACCACTTTTGGATCCTCTTCAATACGTTTTATTATGGATTTTGGCTCAATTTTATTATCTAAATACAAATTTCTATGAATTTTGGCTCAATATTATTATAATATTGTACTTTCTTTTACTTGCTCACTTCTTTGTATGTTTTTACCACTTGTAGATCCACTAGGATACAAATCTTCATAAAGCTAAGCTCAATATTCTTATATAATACTTTTTGACTTAATCACTTGATTCCATATTTACTATGGATCTATTTTAATATGAAGTTCAGCTCAACATTTTTTAGTTGCTCACTTTCTTTCAATGTTTCTACAACCTATGGATTTTGATGGATACGTATTTTTATGAAGTTCATATTAATATTATGTTATTAATTCCACATTTTCTTCCATATTTATACCAATTATTTTTGAAGACAAAACTTTATGGTTCAATATTTTTACATAATTCTTTTTTTGCTTGTTCACTTCTTTCATTATTTATCATTTATTTATACCAATATTGATTCTACTTTTGGATCTTTTTGGGTACGATTTTTTTATAGAATAAGGTTTAATATTATGATAAATTATATTTCTGCTTGCTGATTTTATCAATGTTTATACCACTTTTAGATCCCCTTCGATGCGATTTTTATGGATTTTGACTCAATTTTACTATATAAGTACATTTCTAATTGCTTTCAAAATGTATACAACTTTTGGATTTTTTTTGATACAAGTTTCTATAGATTTTGGTTCAATATTATTACATAATAATTTCTTTTACTTGCTCACTTCTTTCCATGTTTTTATCACATTTAGATCCATTAGTATACAAATCTTCATAAAGCTTGGCTCAATATTTTTATAAAAATACTTTTTTACTTAATCACTTGTTTTCATATTAATTTCAGCTTAATATTATTATATAATATTTTATTTACTTGTTCACTTCCTTTAATAGTGATACAACTATTGTAAACAAATCATTATAGACGTGAATGCATCTGCACAGTTAATTTACTTTTGCATTTTTAATGTTGTTATTTCTTGAACGAGTGTTGCAAATCTACACCTAGATTCGAAGAAGTCGAGGAAACGAAAAATAGAGAGAGATAAAAAAAATAATGCAACTGGTGCGTGTCGCCGAAGACTGACTGGAATAATTGCAGATAGGTTTTAATTTGTATAATTATCAATGCTGCTGACGCACTGATGCCGTGCTCGATTCTTTCCACGTACAAACTTCTAAGGTAAAGAATCGGACAACAATTATTACGCTAAAACTATAAGTGTGTAAGGTTATTCACTTTGTTCTGTTTTGTATTACTCTGCTTACTAAACAATACTTAACATGTTAAGTAAATAAAAAAAAATTAAGCACACAATTGTTAACATTATTATGTAATGTTGTAATTGTATAATTATTATAGAATTATTGTCCGGATTGAGCAAAATAAAAAATATTTATTTATATAAAAATTATCAGTTTTTCAAGTGTCTTTTATAAAGTCCTCGAATAGTCCGGTTTCCAGCAGTGTTTGTTGTGTAATTTAAACAAAATCAATTAAAACTGTACAGTTAGAACTGCATTTAATTAAAACATTTAAATTTAGATTTGCATAATCAGTGAAAAAAAAATAAATTTTGTTAATAATTATGTCAACTATTTCAAACATTAGTATTTCCTATTTAAATTCAATAACGTACAATTTACCAAATTTATGCTGATGTAAAATTCTTCAGTTTTAAACCAAATTTAATTTAAATCAATTAAATAAATCCAGAATGTTCTTAATTTTCTTAAGTGTGTATGCTAATATGATAAGTCGATATTTTGACCTATTTTTTTTTTGTAAAATAAATCCTAATAATACTTTTTTTACTAAAAGTTATACATTTTAATTGCAAATGTTTATATTGTACTCGTTTTATTAATTTTGTGATCAAATACTTGTTTTCAATTTGATTCATAATTCTTAGTTTATAAAAAAACATCAGAAATTACATTTATTAATTAAAATGTCCATAAAATTTTAAATTGAAAAAAAAAACAAAGTAAAGATATTTTAATGAATTTATTCATAATTCTCAGTTAATAATAACGTGAAACATTCCATTTATAAATTAATATAAAATTATACTGTTTTATACAAAAAATCAATTTAAAACCAAGCAGAGACATTTTAATTAATTTTTCATTCGACTTTAGAAACAAAGCGAAATGCCAGCGCGTAGAAAGTCTAAATCTAAAAACAATGTAGTTCTTGTTCTTGTAGCCTATTAATATTTAGCACAATGAATCCAACGTTCTTCGTTCGTTTAGAAATTTTAATGAACCTGAAACACTGACTGACACAACCAGTTCAGTGTCTTCTTTAAATTTATTATTTTGTTTCTATTATTTTTATATGAATAATTCTTACATTAACAGTTCCAATAAAATTAATTAATTAATAAAAATTGAATGGAAATACACAAATTTTGTTTATTTGTAAAATAATTCTAAATCAAATCAAATTTATTTAATTCTAATGAAACAAAACGTGGATATGACTCAATTAAATAAGTAAATACGAAGTTCAATGCTTTCTTTAAATTTATTTTTTTGTTTCTGTTCCTATTAGTTTTATATGAATAATTCTTACATTAATTTTGATTTATTTCATTTAAACAGATTTTTGCGTTTATTTGATATAAATTGGGACAAAAATAAAAAAAATGTTCCAATAAAATAAATTAATTAATAAAAATTGAATGGAAATACACAAATTTTCTTTGTTTGTAAAATAATTCTAAATCAAATCATAATTATTTAATTCTAATGAAACAAAATGTGGATTTGACTGAATGAAATTAGCAATAAGTAAATCCGAAGTTCAATGCTTTCTTTAGATTTATTTTTTTTGTTTTTGTCCTATTAGTTTTATATGATTTCTTACATTTAAATTTTTGCTTTTATTTGATATAAATTGGGACAAAAATAACAAACAAAAATGTTTGTAATTGAATTAATTAAATCCGAATTTGTGGGTACGAAAACTGGGTGTGCATGGAACAGGTTTAGAACATTTTAATGAAGCGAAATGCAAAATCGTTGTACCATTTCATTGTTGCTTCTTTTTTATTTATTTAGTTAGAGCCCGTCCAAATTGCCAATAGTTTATTGATTGGTGGACGGGGATGAACATGTACATGTACATGTATAAAATCCGGACGGTCGTCGGATTGTCCTACCGCAATTTCAATTAAATTTAAAACAAAATTAAAGCCTCCTCCCTCCAGGCCATCCCGACGTCCGGGCGTGTCGGCATTTGCAAATTTCTCTCCAAAACAATTCCCCGTAATTTTGAACAATACTGTTTCCATGTTACCGCCATACACACCGACTGCATTGTTAATTGCGACATTTGCATTGAATGCAAATGCACAGAAAAACCGAAAACCTCCTCCTCTTCCTCATCCTCTTCTCCACCCAAAAGCACTCCGCGTGTCTGGATTGTCCACGCAACAAACTGCACGATAAACAAACGAATTCACATTGAATTCATAATAAAAACAAATATTTCATTGAAAAGCTTATTTATTTATCTTTAATTTGATTATTAATTTATATATGTGCCACGTTTGATTATTGAGAAATACTATATAATGTGAAGACATACATACATCAAAATTCTTAAATTTTGACAACTTAATACAAGCTAATTACAATAGTCATAATTAAATCAGTAGATGACTTGAACTATATATTCCTTTATCTTCAATTAGAGTGTTAATTTATAATTGTGTAATGTTCCGTTACTGAGAAAAACTATAAAACGTGAAGACACTACATTTTTCAAACATCATGCAATTGTTAAAATCGTACAGCTGATTACAAGCAAACGATAATAGTCACAAAGATCTCAGCAGATGCTTTGGAAAACCTATTCATTTATCTTTAATTAGAGAATTAATTTATTTTTATGTAATGTTTGGTTACTAAGAAAAATCATAATATGTGTAAGCACTGCATTTTCCAGTCTTTAAATTTTAATTACAGGAAAACTGTACAATACATCAATGTCTCAGTAGACTGATTGGAAAGTATTAATTAGAGAGTTAATTGATATTTGTGCGATGTATGCTTAACAATGAAAACGATAAACAGTTTGATTTTTAGAAAACTTACTCAGTTATGACGAAAACATAAAATGTGAATAAACTTTTCATTTTATAATTACGCAATAATTAGTATATGCATTATAAAATGTTAATTAATACTGTTTTGTTTTGTATTAGCATTTACGTTTCGAAGAATTTTCAATTATTTTTAACTTTTTATTCAAATTTCTAGAAAACTATCAATATTTTTCTACTATGTAACAAATCTATTTCTCTTTTATACATATGATATAACTGTAGAATAAAATTATATGAGAAACAAAGAGGATGAACCATTAAAACTTAATCAATTTAGCTTTGGTTTAATTTAACTGCAGCGCCTCGGAATTTTAATAACAATAATGAACAAGATTTTCCCTTCGCCGAGTGCATTAAATAAACCATAAACTTAGAGAGTTTGCTTTTCTAAATGTAGGAAGTAGCAGGTAATTGCGAATTGCAGCTGAAGCATCTGTCCAGTGGCACTTTTCTCCGCCGTTTTCCATTAATCTTTCAATAGGCGTGTAAGTTTCCACCTGATTTTCCGTTAGCAAATGGAGTGAAAATTGCTGCAGAAACCATAAATATTTAATTAAACTGTTTAAAATGTTTGACTTATCTTAAGAGCGTTGATTACTGGCTGCCCTCCCAGTCCACATCTTCGTGCCGACGAACGATGCAAATTATTTGCACGAACTCTCTCCTCTCCTTCTGCTGCTAATTTAATTTTCCAATAAAACAAAATAAAAAATCATTTAGTCAGAAAAACTAAGAATGAATTTAAATATTTATTGAATTAAGGTTTAGGTTTCTAGGAAGTTAATTTTAAAGATATATTAAACACAAGTGTTTGCATTTATCATGATTGAAGTAAGATTTCATAAGAATCACCCATTCAAGTACAATACTCAACATATGATGTTTAACTTAAGTACATATTCCTATATCTGAAAGTCATTGTAATTCCTATAACTGTTTTATATTTGATTTCAGATTGCTTGTAATCCAAATGATCCGAATCTCATTGTTTTGGTTGGAGCAAGTCTCTTCAGAAATCTGGCTTGTTCGGAAGGAAACTGGAGGCAGTACGGATTCAACAAAGCCGAGAACATGACATTCACTTGCGCTGCATGGATATCCCAAGATCGCATCCTCTGCGGAACTGTGGACAGCAAGATAATATTCTTCGAAAACGCCGATCTTAAGGCAATATTTCACATGAACGATCTACCTATGATGGTGTTGAAGCAAGCGGAGGAAGGCGGCTCCGCTGCGAATATGCTCGAAGGCGAACCGTCGACGGTGGTCGGAGGAGGCGGGGAACCCCTGGAGATATCCGCGATGGTCTCGATAAATAGGGGCTTCCTGTTTGCGTTCCCCAACGGAAATATACTGTTCTACGAGAAGGAGTCTCCGAATCGGTACAGGAAGAGAAACGTGTTCAGGATCCCCGACCATTCAATCGAACGCGGCGAGGAGGAGATTACAGAGATCTTCGAGGAGTTTGCCAACATTGATTTGACCACCGTCAACACGATCAGCATCAATGTGTCGGAAGATCGGTTCATTGCTACTTGTAACGAAACGCAGATCTACACTATGCGAATCTGGGGACCGGACTTTAGCACAGCCGGTGAACTCTTCATGTCTGAACTGGGATTTCCTTTGCATCATGGTCCGATCGGAGCAGCTGCGGTTTGCGCTTGGAAACCCATATTTATGACCACAGGCATGTGGGATCGTAGCTTGCGCGTCTGGAATTACGAGAATGAATCGCTGGAGTTGATCAAGAAGTACACTGAGGATATCTTCGGATGCAGCGTTCATCCAACAGGTTTATACGCCGTTGTGGGTTTCTCAGATAAACTTAGGTACTTGAAGATTCTCATCGATGACTTCGTCTGCGTGCGGGAGTATCCAATTAGAGCTTGCAAAATCTGTAAGTTCAGTACGCTGGGACATCTCTTTGCCGCGGTTAACGGGAACGTCATCCAGGTCTACTCCAGCATCACCTTCGAGCACATGTTCAACCTGAAAGGGCACAACGGATTAGTAAGGCTTCTACGTTTAACCAAACTTAAATTTATGATTTAATTTAGGTCACAGGACTCTCCTGGGTGCATGATGACTACAAGATCGCATCCTGCGGTACAGAAGGAGCCGTGTATGAGTGGCAGATCTCAACCACTCGCAGGATCTGCGAGACCTTCATCAAGTCATGCCAATTTGCCGACGTGGCAATAACCGCTGATGGTAAAACCAATTATTGCCTCGGTACAGACGGGAGAGTCCGGGAAATTGTCAATTCCAACGTCCAAGGCGATATCACGGTTACCGTTAATGGTAAATAAGCTTTTTGAATTGATCAATTAAGAAGGATTTATCAAAGATTCTCTACGTAGGTCTGGATGCTATCACTCTTGCAAACTCCGATGGAATGATCTTCGCCACTGGTAACAACGGTGTTCTTTACTCCGTTCAGATGCCATTCAATGATTCAAGCACTTTCAATGAGTACGTCGTCCACGCAAGCAAATGCAATGCTGTAAGTCCACTAATTGCTCTCACAGTTAAATTATGATTGATTTGTTAATGATTTGAAGCTATCAACAATCTTTGCAAGTATGGTTGGAAAACCATACCCATCACATTTCTCAAGCATTTCTTGAATATGATTTGTTCTATTGTATAAAATAGGCAGCTTAAAAGACATTTTGAATTTGAGATTTTTTTAACTTATGACCTGTGATGTAGTACACAATACAGTTTCTATATACATAAAAGTAAACTTAACTAATAAAACCGACTATATGTCTTATTGTACGCTACAATTTTACATATGTCAAGCAATAAAATGAGAAGGAAAGAAATATTATAATTTATACACTATTTCTTTTGTATATTTTTCCTCCAGTTGAAGCTGTATCCAATCCACTGGTGGTCCTATAACTTATATCTAATTATACAAGTCACTCGCAGTGACATCCGATATTCATAGATATCAGTTATATAAATTAGAATAAATGAATTAGAATTTTATACAACATTTATTTCAATCTTAATGTAGCTTATCTTCAAATTCTTTAATACTTTGCTTTTCCGATAGTTATGAAATGTATTTTTTAAATTTATTTATAATATTAGCTTGAAGTATGCAATAATGAAATTGGAACTTTTAAAGAAATTAATCAGATGTTGGGTGTACAGAAAGCATTATAGTATTGGATAAATTGGTGCAGTTGATTTATGTGAATGGTTATTATTCAATAAGGATGTAACTGGTGTGAGATACTGGAAAAGTTGCGTAGGCGAAAGAGGGAATGCTCTTTTAAGTGATGAAGACATCAGTCAATAAACGTGGGCAGAAAATTATGCGCAAAACATGTTTCTAAGGTAGTTGAGAATCCGGAGATTCATTTTTAACGAAGCTGAATTGAAATGAACAAAACATATCAATGATAGTAAAACAATTCGTTATTTATTTTTCTGTATTTATTTTAGATTTTAGTAGTAATTATGATAGCAATTAATATAAAATATTTTGTTAAATAGTTGAGGATAACATACGATGATAAATTTGTGGTGAGCACATCAAACAGTTGTGTTTGTCTGTGGAAGATCCTGAATGCAGAAGGAAAGCAAGTGAAACTGGACAAGGAGTTTTCACCTTCCACAGAGGTGATGATCGAACGTTGCGATTTGGTGGAGAAGATGGGTCTCATTAAAGATTTGCAAGTGCGAATGAACGAGCTGCAAACGGAACACGCTTACCAGATGAGACAGAACGAGGCTGCTCATAATGCAACCATCAAGGAAATCCATGAAGGCTATTGTCTGGCCATCGAGGAGCTCAAAGAGAAGAACGAGAATCTCGAGCAGGAGCACAACCAGGAGATAAGTAACATAAACTTGGAGATAAACAAGATGAAGAGCGGTCACGAAATGTTCGTGCAGAAGCTCGAGGCTAACTACAACGAGAAGCTCATCGTCGAGTATGATAAGTTCATGTTGCTCGAAGAGAAAATGGGAAGGATGAGAACGCGTTACGATAATCAGCTGGAGGATTTGGCGGAGGCGAAGAGGACTTCCGAGGAGACCATCACCAATAATTACGAGCAACAGCTACGCGAAAAAGAAGTCCATTTGGAAGAGGTATAATCAGTATCTTTGCAATTTGATATTGTGGCGATTAAATAATGTTATTTGTAGCTTGTTGAGAAAATCAATCAAACTGTGAAGGAGCACGACGCAATCACGCAGCAGATCGAAGACGATGCCGATCGTGAGATCTTCGAAATAAAGAGCCAATTTGAGAAAGAGCTTCGCGAGGAGCAGGATTTGAATGTGAAACTGCGCAGCGAAACTCAGGCTAGTAAAAAGAAGTTGCAGGCTTCGCAAAAGAACATCGACGATCTGAATCATACCGTGCACATGCACGAGATTGAGCAGCACAAGCTGAAGACGGTAATCTTTGGTTTGGAAGGTTCCATCGGTGATTTGCGTAAGGAGATTGTGGAAAGAGATTCGACAATTCAAGATAAAGAGAAACGAATTGCGGAATTGAAGCATAAGAATCAAGAGCTGGAGAAGTTCAAGTTCATATTGGAGTTTAAGATTGATGAGCTGAAGGCCCAAATTGAACCTAGAGATAGGACTATTCGGGAGCAAACTGAGCAAATCAACGATATGGTTAATGAGCTCGAAAACCTACAGAAAATCATCCTTAGTTTGGAGCTACAGTTAACCGAATTGAGGGAAAAACTGAAAGCCGCTGATAACGAAATTAAACGGGAAATTGTCAAGAATCGAGCGGCCAAAGCGAGCTTGAAAACGATCAAAACCGAAATCCATAACGCGAGTGGTTTATCCCAAGAAATACCCAAGTTACAAAAGGCTGTGCGGGTATTAAAAGGCTTCTCTGTTAATCTTACAAATGTTATAATTGCTTTCGTTTCAAGGAAATGTATCACAAGTACAATGCGGATAAGGATTTCGCCATCGCGCATGCTGAAGACAACGAGGCCAAGAAGGAATTCTTGAGGCAACGCGACTTCTTGGAGCGGACTGTTAAAGCGCTGAAATCGCAAGTGCGTATACTTCATTTACTGCTCGCTCTGTGTGAGGTCCATCTTTTTAATGCCTCTGATTTTTAAGGTCTCGAAAGCTCAAGTTTATAGCGGAGAGAACCTGCGATTGCTCGAACAGAACTCTCTGCTAATTACCGAGACAAACAATCTGAGGAGGAATTTGAAAGTCGAGCGAGGCAGCAACAAAAAGATGAACGCCCTCCTCGGATTGAGCAAACAATGCAGCCTCGCCGAATCCCAGAAGAAGTTGGACATGGCCGTTGCAACGAGAGAAGAGATTCGGAATGAATTCAGTGCTAAAATTGACGTGAGTACAAGTAGCATTAATTATTATAAATCAAATGATTCCTTAATCCTTAATGAAGATAAAACATAAGTATTGTTATGCGTCTATTTACTAAAAATTAAAATGATAGGGTTAATAGATAAACCAAAATGATTGTTGGTATAAATGATATTAATTTATTAATCACATTTTACAGGAAGATGAGAAATCCATCGCGATATTGCAAGATGAAAATACACGACTCCTCGAGAAAATTACCGAAGACAAGAATGAAGATTGACTTTATTATTCAAATCATCTCACTTTTTTAAATATATTTATATACGTATGTACAATTTACAAAATTTATTGTTCCTGTTCATTTTTGTACTAAGCAGTGCAGTTTTATAAATGTGTAGAAGCTCTCGTTTATTATCTCTGCTGCACTACAATACTTGTGAAATGTTGTTTTCAGTTTGTTTTCTCCTTTTCAGTACAAGATTTTCTGATCTTTGCAAGTGGATATGCTTTGATATGAGTTGTTCAGTTTATCAAGAGTAATCGGCGTCTTCAGCACGATTTCTAAGCATTGGAAATCCGTCAGCCTTTTCACATCGTTATCTTTTCTGAGCCTAGTATTTGGTAGCTTTCGAATCCTCTCAACTCGCGTCTCGGAAATCTCCAACTCTTCGCAACATATATGCAATAAAGTGGAATAGGTGAGTTTCCAACGCGGCATTTCGATTTCTATGAAATCCGGATCGGACGAACCGAAGACGCGCACCTTAAGTACTAAATCTGAAATCAAAAGATGTTGAGTAATGTGTGTTATTAGGAGTTATTTTTATAAATAACCATCAGTTTGAGATGGTAATGAAGTTGTTGGGAGTGATGTGAAATCATGCCTGGGCCTCAATTTAGGTGGAATCTCAACTTGTCCATTCAAAGGAGCATTCCTAATGTAATTTGGGACAAATTTAGTGCTGCTTTCTTCCTGATAGTAATTATTTGGAGTAATGGACTCTCCTAGCAGTGAAGCTATATTCTGATGGTTGCACACATTCACTGGTTTCTCTCCTTTATCATTCTCCAGTTTTGAATCAGCACCACTGTTTAACAGTACCCTAACAACATCTTCATTGCCTCTCCTACAAGCCCAGTGAAGAGCAGTCCTAAGAAATTTCATGATATATTTAATCAGTGAAAGAAAGGTTATGTTATAATTACCATCCATTCACTGGGTTTTTTGAATTAACATCAATGTTTTGAGCTATCAGAGCTTGCACAGCATCCAAATCTCCCATGCATGCTGCCTCTCTGAAGCGCTCTTCCAAATTAGCCATAATCCTATATTCTGTATACTACTTTTAGCACTGTGCAGAACATACTTCCACTATATGTGAACTATTGATCCTGCAATTCATTTAAATTTTGACATCTAGGGTCACCTGTAGTGCCTTATCTGAATCTTTGATACGCTCTACTATGCATTATTTAGTAAAAACGCAAAAGTCCATGTGCGCCTCGCGTAAAAGCAAGAAATAATAAATGCATTCCACTAAATCAAAAGACATTCTACGAGTTTGCGCTTTAACATTTGAAACTTAGATATTTTATTAAATCACAGTATTTGTAAACTGAACAGATAATTGTAACATAAAATGTTTAATACAACTAATTTCAAAATCGATACTGGACAAAGGAAGGTAATAGGAAAAAAAATATTGATCAACAGCAAGACTAAATGCATATAATCAAAATATATAATACACAAACTTAAACAAAATTAAACTACGTTCTTCTTCTTCTTGTTTTTGCCGGCAGGACTGTTCATCTTCTTTTGAGCACCATTAGCAGGCTTCACTTTTTCGGATCCGCTCTTTGTCAAAACCGTGGCGTCCTTTTCAGAATTCTTTCCTTTCTTACCAGCATTTTTATTATTCGCTACAGCTGGAACTGCCTCAACTGGCTTATTTTCAATCTGTTTTCCCTTCTTGATTTTTTTGGGTACATTAGTTGCTACGTTGGAAACTGCTTCACTCTCGACTTTCAATTTCTTCGCTTTTTGAACAATTTGTGCTTTCGGTGACATCAAAGTTTCTTCAGTTGCTTTTATTTTCTTCCCTTTACCCATCTTTTCAGCAACTTTCTCGATAATTTCTACTTTTGTTACTTCTTCATTAGCTCTCTTATTTTTCTTTCCTTTACCTTTAGGTTTTTCAGTAGTAACGTCACTCTTGACTTCTACTGGTTCTTCAATAAGTTTCGCATTCTTCTTGCCTTTACCTTTCGTTTTCTCAACAATCTCTTCACTCTTAGTTTCTACTACTACTTCAATGGGTTTCGTATTTTTTTTACCTTTACCTTTCGTTTTCTCAACAATCTCTTCATGCTTAGCTTCTGCTACTACTTCAATAGGTTTCACATTATTCTTGCCTTTACCTTTTGTTTTCTCAGCAACCACCTCACTCTTGGTTTCTACATTAGGTTTCAAGTTATTATTCTTGCCTTTACCATTCGTTTTCTCAGTGATAACCTCATTCTTAGTTTGAACAGTTTCTGCATTAGGTTTAAATTTTTTATTGCCTTTACCTTTTGGTTTCTCTGTGATCACTTCACTCTTGGTTTCTACAGTGGGTTTCATATTTTTGTTGCCTTTACCTTTTGGTTTCTCAGTGATTTCTTCATTTGCCTTTTGGGTAGTTTCTTCATTTGATTTCTTATTCTTCTTACCTTTGCCTTTTGGTTTCTCTGTAATATCTTCCTTTACAATTTCTGCAGTTTCCACAGAAGGTTTTTGAACCACCTTTCCTTTAGGCATTTCTGGAGTTACTTCATTTGATTTAACTCCTTCATTGGACTTCTTGGCTTGCTTGCCTTTAGGTTCAATGATTTCCTCATCTGCTCCAGTTTGCAATTGACGCTTATTTTTACCTTTTCCTTTCTTCTTCTTTTCAACAGGTAATGCTGCATCTACATCAACCTTCCTAATTTTGTTGGGAGCTTCATCTAAAAATGATACATTTTAACAATGACTAAATATAACTTCAAGTAATGTATATATCATACCTTCAACATCTTCCTCTTCTTCACAGTCCTCATCATCACCCAATGATTGTTCTTTTTTATTTCTAACAAGAATAACTTCACCATGTGGTTTGACAATAACTTCAGCATCAGTAAAGGTGGAGAGTTCACCTCTAACATCCTTACAGGCTTTAGGTAACTTACGTTTTACAACAGGTGTTACCACATCAGAGCTGTTAGCTACAAATCATATATAGTTAAAAATAAGTTTGTGTAAACAAAAGAAGTAACTTACCAAGACTCAAATACAGAGGTATAGAAACACCAGTTGGTGTCTTCACATACATATTCCTAATGTTATCATGGCCACCTGGGAACACAATATTCAATTCTCGAACAACATGGTGCAGATTCTCAATAATTTCTTGCTTCTTCATTAAATGATGACCAAATTCAATCAGGTAAGAATCCCTTCCATCACAAATTTTCAGAGGAACCATTTTCAATGATTTCTCCACTTGGTCCTTCAAGTTACTTGCTCTCATCCTTACCATTCTGGGCATTTTACCTTTCTTAATAAACACTGCTCTAAACATTGTCGAGAACTGATTTGAAATTGAAGCATCAACGAGGAAACTATCATACAAATCAACCAATCTTCTTTGATTCTCATATTCTGCATACTCAGTTGATGCTGTATAAAATGGCATAATGCACTTGATATTTGTAATATTGTGCATCTCAAAGATCTTCTCATAAAACTCAATGGTTTTATCAACATCCTTAGGTTTTTTGTAATCTTTCACTATGAAACAAATATCGCTGTTCGCATTCAACTTACCATGTTTCAATGTTATCCTCTTAATCATAGGATTTGCCTCAGGTACTTTAATGCATTTGATTTGCAACAAAAATCTTTCTTCCTGATCATCGAAAAGCTTAACTTTGTCATCATTTTCAAGAAGATGGAACAAACTATTGACTGCAGATTCAACAGTTTTGGAATCCAATGCAATACTGTTTGTGTTCTGCTCTACAACTTTTGTTGGACTATCAACAGTTACCTCAGCGGGTTTCTTCTTCTCTGGTGATTTAACTTTATTCTTATTCTTCTTTTTCTTTGTTTTCTCTTGAACAATCTCTTGAATATTCTTAGGAGCTTTTTCTAACTGATTCTGCAAATCCTTGGCTTTAACCAGATTTTTCACAATCTTCTTTGCCTTGTCTACATCCACAGTTTTCTCCTGTTTTGCTTTTTTAATAACAGATTTGACTCTGTTCTTTGGAGAATTCTTCTTTTCCGCAGTCTTTATGACATTGGGCTTCGCGGATTTTTCTAAGTTCTTCTTAACCTTTGCCATTGCAAATTTCGTTCAAATTTTAAAAACACACGTGTAGTCAATCAACTCAAACTGAGGTTAAGATTTGGTTTGGACGCTTACTTTGTAAACGTTATTATTATTTTCAAGTGTTACCAACTAATAAAACACTGAACTAAGTTTTGTAATATGTATATTTTTAAATAGTTTTTAACATCCATTTATATATTATACAATATTTGATAAATTACAAAGAATTCTTCAAAATAATATTAAATTTATTAAAAAAATAATTAATATTTTGAAAAGTAAACTTACGTATAAAGTTGCCTATAAGTAAAAGTTATAGGTTATATTTATTAGCTACTTAATAATGGATTATAAAGAATTGTAAGTTGTTTTTATTAATTAAAAGTAATCAAATTAATTATTAAATGTTGCAGGGCTTCTACAATTATACATGATCACAAATATCCAATAGTTAAATTCGAAATTGATAAAACTAAGCTGTTCAGATGTTCCAGATCTGATAAAGAAAATGCAATGTTTATAAACAAATTAAACAGTTTAAAGGCTGCTTTACGTTTATCCAGAGTTGAAAGGAGGTGAGTCTTGCAAAAACTTTTAAAATTGCATAAAAATATTGTCATTTACAGATGTGCTCGATGTAAAGCAAACTGGTTAAAAGATAAAAGGCTAGCCCATATGACACACCTTGTTGGTACAAAGTTCCAGACCATGGGTTTTGGCAACAAAGAAGGAAAATTCCTATACCCAGAAGAAATATTATTCCTCTTAGAATCTGTAATAATGACTGCACATAATTGTATGATTTTAAATAATATTCTTTTAGAACAGAGCTGAAGTGTTATTAAACAATATTCCAATGAACATGATGCAAGCTTACCAGGAACTGCTTAGTTCAGTAAAACAAGTGAAGATATATCAAGTTTATAGAGAACTAGTGTTTAAAGGTTTTAATCTAATCAAACATATGCCTTCATTAAAAATCAATGAAGTAGAGGATGTGAGGGAAGAATCTGAGAATAAAAGAATTAAATGTGATAAAGAAGAAACTAATGAAATGAATGAGGTTTTTCTTAGATTGCAAGAAACTGGTCCTAAACTTAATGAAAGGGTACTTAATAAAGAATGTGACTTTAAATTAGCCAATTCTCCTTTGAAAATACACGTGATGTGAGTATAATTCAATAGTGATTATTAAGAGATAATTGAAATTTTGTTTATTTAGGTTTAATAAAGAATTGGATTCGAAGATTGGATTTTACAATGATTCACAGAATAACATTTATTGTGGGATTGACCAGGAAATAACTTTCAACACATTCACCAATTTTCAAATACCATTTTTAGCCATTGAAAATTAAAAATGTATCTTATTCTACAATTTAAATAAATAATAATTTATTTTCCAATATTGAATTCAGTCTGTAAACATATCTATAAGTAAATATTTCTAACTGTTTATGTTAGAGTTACAATTAATGATGTAATAATATACATGTTTTGAATACAAAAATCATATCAGATTTAATGTTCGAATTGTGGAATTCATTCAATATTCCAGTCACATCTTCGACTAATAAAAGAGACCGGATCGACGGCATTATTAATTGATTTCCCGAAATTGGAAGTGTTGCATAACATTCACATTACACATGTTCTGTGTAGGATCAGAGGAGACATGCATTCGCTTTTTTTATTAGCATCTTGAGCGATGTCTTTTTATTGGACGGCATCGTAAATAAATCCATCATAAAAGTCCTTGATTGCATAACAGTACCAAATGAAATCCATCGTTTTTAGCAATCTAGAATTCCTCCAGTTGATCTTTGTTTATGTCACACACATATTATTATGTCATTAACATTACTTCTGATTTTGAAGCTAAATTATGTTCAAGAAGCTGCAAACAATATAATTCGCATTAATCACTTCCCAAACAATAAACGACGAAAGTCTTTTTATGATATTTACTTTTTTTTAAATCTAAATTGAGACAGAGAAAACGATGCGTGTGACATGAATAGCTGAAGAACAATTATTTTTGCACCGAATTCTTCACTAAACAGAAAATTACATTTTATAACCGCAATTTGTGGCGCAGTAAAAGAAAGCACTTAAATTCTTTCTCCGGTCTCGTCCTTGTTGTCCTCGTCCGGAGGATCCAAATGCATCGCAATCTACGAGTGCAACAGAGAAAGAAAACTATCTGTTCTCGACTCGTTATTATTATTACATCTTTTAATTGCCTCGTTAACGAAATTCAGTTAGCTATAAGCAAGAGCTGAAATAGGAATAGAGCAGAAAAAAAAGTATACTAACCGTCGGTAGAAAACCAAATCTATTACTATATAATAACACTCATTAAAAACTATATGCAATAGATTATATTAAAATATTTCATTGCTCTCTTTCTTTCTTTCTCTCTCTCTTTCTCTGTAAGCACATCTAAGGAAATTAGATTTGAAATTTAATAACGAGGCGAAACAACAGTCATTAAAAGCTAAGAGATATACAGAGAGAGAAATGGGATGACCTTTTATCCTGTTCTTCGATAACTTTGCTTTTATTTTCAACTAGGTTCTCTCCTCCGGCGGACAAAGAAAGACGTACCAAAGAAATTGCACTTTCTACGAGATCAAAACTATAATTATAAGATCAAACACATTTTGCTATCGATCTAATTGACTTACATTGCAAACGAGGGAAATTTCATATAACATTTTTTTTCTCTCTATTGTATTACCGTCAATTATATCCTTTTAAGTAGATTTCAAATCAGCATCTGCAATTCTTAAGATTTTAACTAGTTACCGATTATAAGGTTCTTCATAGACATGTGGATGTATGTAATTTTATACGTTGTTACTGTTGCATATCACAATACAGAATAGTGCGGTTTCAATCAGTCCGGATTCAATATACAGTGGAACCTCGCAAAACAAATTGTAAGAAAAATGACTCCAAAATGGAACGCATTATTGTATTGGGGAAAATTGTTTCATTATACGAGTAAAAATCCGGAAATTTTGGAACGGGTTATGCGAGGTTTCACTGTAGTCCGATTTGAAAATAGTATACAAAATTATTTATATTTCATACACAAATGATCGGTTTTTCCATTTATACAGTCAATAGGGTCGTATTAAGGTTATCGTGGGCCCTAGAATCCAGACCTCCTGCCCTCTTACCAGCATCTACTTACTTAACTTGACAACTAAATATGTATTCTTTAATCTTAAATCGAATATTTTTTTCGTGGGTCCCAAACATAACTGCAAATTCTCGTGGGTCCTATGCAATGTTATTAAGTCTCTTTGTGCCGTTTCTTTACTTTTTATTTAGTTCTTCGATTAGTCCTGTTTCAAGAAGTTACTTTTATATATTTTTTTTTTAAATATAGCAGAATTTTTAATAAATCCAAGATGAAAAATACAATTTGTTATGTAAAGAATGCGTGTTACGAAATGTATCGACCAGTGCGATCAAAAGTCGATTAAATCGATATTTAATTGGAATCGCGTGGAATAATAAATCTACGACTAATTAATGCTTAGGTTACCGAACATCCGAGCTGTGTATGCATTTGAAAGCCAATTTGATTCATATAAATCATTGGACGTAATTAAAGTGGACTCAACAAAGGTAATTAATTAATGAATGGGCTTCGATCTTCTCTTCTCGGAGCGTTTAGAAGAATCCGGATTAATTTCATAAGTATTCGTGTCAACTGGAATTATTGCCGACGGTGCAATAAATAAAATGGTTTTGTTGGTTCTCGTCCCAATTCCATTCCAAATCCGAGTTTACCATTAGACAAATAAACGGTAATTATTCTCAGATTTTCATTTCAAGTTTACTTGATTCGTTTATGCATTCGGATTGAGTGCAATATTAAAAGGACAACTAAAGTAGCGTCCACTCAACACGGACGCTTCGTGTTTATTTTCAGAAGACTCGTTAATAAATTACTTTCCGTGATTACGGTTTTCATGTTTATTAACTGCTAATTAAAGTATGCATTTTAATAATTATAATTTTATTAACATAATAAATTAATAAATTTTATTGATTATCGTCAAGTGGACGAGTGTACGGATTCTTTACAGGATAAATCATGGGAAAGTTTTTGAAATTTTCAATCAGGTTTATTGTGAACCGGACAGATCGAAGCCGCACTATTTGAGTTACTAAGTTTGTTGTTTTTAAAATATAACGCTTTTAATCGTGAAGGTGAAACAATTTGGTTTCATTAATTTTTATATGCAATTTCCTGTTAAAAATCACTTTTTGTCAATTTGAAAATTATCCAATTAAATTTAGATTTTCTACTTTTAATTGCAATAAAATATAATTTTCTTATGAGATCTCTAAATTCAATATTTGTCTGTGGTCCCAAATTCAAATTTCTCTGTGACCCTAAATTCAAATTTGATTGTGGTCCCTAGTAATAGTTCCTTGTGGTCCCCAAATCTTCAATCTATGTAATCAAAATAATCTTACAATTGCTGACAGTAATTCATCAATTCGAATTCTCTCTTTGCTTAGGATCACCAGAAATACTTTGAGAAACAAATAAAGTATTAAAACATAAGTTTACGAGCATTTAATTACCGATGATTTTAATGCTTGAAAACGAAATACAGACGAACGTAAAATATTCGTTCTGAAATTAACGGATGTGATATGTCCATAAATCATTGCTTAGTCTAGTCTGTTGTAGAGACGGCTAATCCAAATCTAATTCCTTCACTGCTCGCTTCAACCTGTTATCGCATCTATAATAAATCTTCGAGGCAAGAAATACTCTGTTCACGGTTTCATTTTTACATGTTTTGTCTTCAACTTGAGCAATAGAAGCATCGTGTAATTGGGAATTATTCTAGTTTTGCACTTAACAAGTAGTAGATATCATTGAAGGAGTAGTAGTAAATTTTATTGCATTTTCCTATGAATCACTTTTATGCGTTTATAATGAACGTCCATATGAAATTAGTATTATTTATTTTTAATTTGCCATTAAATATACATCATAATTTAATTTAAGGTATAATAACCTTGATTTACTTAGAAAAAAGTCATTTTTAGTCAAATTAATAATTTTAGATTTTAGTACAAAATATCTAGTAATTAAGTAAATAAAAAATGGAAGTAATACAAATCTAAAAGTAAGCTCACTGGAAAGGCCATAGTTTTATCTTTATTATACAAATTAGAGTATTAATTAACATGGGTAGTTAACCAGTAATTGAATAAAATGTAAAGACATGTTTTCATAAGAATATATATGAAAAAGTTCATTTTATTATTTTGTACATGTCTTTACATGAAACAAAAAAAATACATAAATGTATGTTGATTATTTAGATAATACGTAAATACATGTAAATCAAAATATAACTTTCTTCCGAGTTTATGGAAATTCCATGTATTGAGAACGAGATGAAAGTACCTGGACATTTTTCTTAGTACATAGTTATTTTTTTTTCGTTGTGTCTGTTAAAGTTTCAGTAATATTTCGAACGATTCACATCTCGAACTGCCAACTTCGAATTTGTTGCACGAACCCAAACCGAAAACCATAAATTACGCATTGTATGCAAATCGTGGAAGAACGCGAGACGTTTTTTTTTTGTACTATACACTTATGTATTTTTTTTTTCTCCTCCTTCTCCTTCTTATTCATACTTGCATTAATTTCGAGGATACACTATTATTTCCACTAATCTAATCCCCATCGGGGTCAATTTGCATGCAAAACTTATTCCCAGATCGTTGCATGCAAATTGAACACAATTCCACTTATGTGATTTTATGTTCTGACGCGTTCGTTTCTTTTTTGTTTTTTTTTTCGTACACTCTTCCTGCATGACTTTCAGTTTAATTTTGGCTACTTAAATTAAGTATAATTGATGTTTCAGATCGTTTCCTTCCATCCGAAAATCGTAATTAATAGCGTGAGATATATTAATAATCGTCATATCGTGAGTTACAGTTAAGAGGCAAAAATTTGGTTCAGTGAAAGTCCTCTTCGTACACTGTATTAATTACGATCGTAATTTCAAACCAATTAACTAAATAAAGGTTATAAGCAATTTTGAAAAGACAAAACAAATTTCTTTCTTTATTTTTTTTTATCATGAAATAATTAATGGCAGTTAATTTAAATGATATATTAGGTTAATTTTTGTATTTTTTGTAATAACTTCTTAGATATTATTTTTGATTAATATATCAATATTAATAATGAAAAATATTTTTGACACGACATTGATTTGTTAGGTAAATTGGTTGTCATGGAAACTAAACTGACAGATGCAATTGAATTTGTCATTTATGACGTTTATGTTTATATTATGTTAGC